TTACAGCCTCGACGACTCGTCATGCCTCTGCTGGGCCGCGTTCTCTGTCTGCTCGCCGCTTTGGCGAACGCGCTCGTCCTCGCGTACGACTCGTCGTTCGTCCAGCTGATCGACGACGCGGTCACCGTGCTGTTTCCACCGGTCAGGCTGTCGGCGTATCTCTGTCATCTGGACCAAGGTGAGAGATTGCGGGCCTCGAGCGGGAGGGGGGGAGGAGGGGGACGAAAGAGAAACTGAGATGAATACGCGGTCCGTAGACGAGACGATCCGACTCTCGAGACTGATGTCGAGAAGGGGCCTCGCTCACGAGGTGCACGCCGATCTCCAGGGGCTCGAGGCACGAACGGACCGCGACCTTTGGGATCATCGAGTCTTGTACGTGCTGGACCTGGACTGCGACTACGCGGTGCCACTCTTACGAGCGGTGCGTCGTCGAACCAACAAATAACGATCTCGAGCGGTGATCGGTAGCGACTATCCTCGGTTGATTCGCAGGCGAACGCGAGCGGCATGTTCGCCGCGCCGACCAGGTGGCTGCTGCTGCAGCGAGATCGAACGATCGGCGAGAGAACGTTGTTGCGAGACATGGCCGTGTATCCCGACAGCGAGGTGACAGTGGCCACCAGGTGGCTCGAGGCCGAGGGTGGCTCGATCGCGTGGCAGATAACGTCCCTCTACAGACCTAGCCCGTTTCGCGAGCTTCTGACGGAGAACCGAGGAAGCTGGACGGCCGATGGTGGCGTTCGCGCGATCGATCTTCGCCCGACGTCGCGACGGAGGAGAGATCTTCGACAAACGCCCTTGAAATCCTGCCTCGTGGTATTGTTCACACACCGTCGCGCGCGATCACGCTCCGCGAATTATCGTCCACCGTCGGCGGATTTGCGAAGCAAAGCGGGGAGCGTGGATTTCGTCTCGGATTAAGCGGCAGGCGATAAGTGGAAGCTCGCCGAGATAGCGAGCCGCGTTGTTAATTATCGCTGCTCGACGCTCGTCCGCCGGCGGCAAGAGGGGACGCGATCGCCAATAACGCAGTAACAACGATAATAAATTAATGCCACATTTGCCTTTCCGCAGATGACCGATCCCGATACCATCAACCACTTAACCGATTACGAAAATAAGCACATAGATCCAATTACGAAGACCAACTATCCTTGGGTGCTGCATATAGCGAGCCGAATGAACGCAACGTGAGTCGTCTGCGCCTTCCTCCCCTCTCCTTTCTCTCCTCACCTGTTTCGTTCAAATTGCGAGAACGGTCACGCGCGACAGGAGATAAAATATGTCCCGAGGAATCTACAAGAACAATAGTACACTTGTGTATAATCTTCAATTAAGCGTATAATAGCGTACGTACGAAGTGAAGATATATGTACAGCAGGTTCACGTAGATTTATCGTCCATTTTTTCCTCTCGCAAACGATGGATGCTGTGGGAAAATGACAGAGGACAAAGTTGGACTGTTTTTTTGTACGCAGTATATGTGTATAATGTAATTTTCCTTCCAGTCACATCGTTTCTTCACAACTGAACTTCAATTTTTTTTTTTTTTTTTT